GTAGCTCTTATTAGTACATGGTAAAAATATTTTATTTATTTTAGGACTTTGATTTCTATTATGCTTTCAGTAAAGAGTACTATGGAAGCAGTTAATAATATGATATTAAGTAAAAAGTTTTCGAAATATTTTGTTGAATAAATTAAGGCTGGTTAAGGAGGTATCCTAATAAAAGTACTTACTAATTATCTTTAAATTATTGGAGCTGTTGCAACATTTTAACTTTCATTGCCAAGTGCTCTTACAAGTGCTTTTAAAACTGTTGGGTCTCCTGTAGAATCTATGAGTTATTCATTAGATTGTTTTTTGATCAAGATTTCAGATATTAATGTAATGTATTTTAGAATGATATGGGCTTTAATTATGCCAATCATATATATTTTAACATTTTTTATTTTGTATGGAATTGCTATACTTGTACATTTAGCAGATGCCAGTAAGAGTGCCATTTCAACTACTTTTATTTATTTGTTTACTTTTTTATAACCTACTTTACTTGGAGGTTTTGTATCATTATTATCATTTAGACAAGTATCTAATATCTATTGGGTTTAAGGTAATGTAGCATATAGATATGATACTGCTTAACATTTGAAATGGGTTTTATCTTTTGTATTTCCTTCTGCATTTACACTTGGTTTAATTATACCAGCTTATATGTTTTTGAGTTTGTATAAGATTAAAAATGATTTGAATGATGGAGAAAGTAGAAAGAAGTGGGGTTATTTGTATAATGAATATCAACCTAAAGCTTATTTTTGGGAAATTGTAAAGATATTCTAAAAGAGTTTTATCATATTATTTTTGACATTCTATGAAGATTTAATTATTATCAAGGCTGCTTTAATTTTCATTATTGTGTTTATATATTCTATGTTAACTAAGAAATATAAACCATTTAAGTTGCCTTACTTAAATTATTTAGATGATATGAGTACATTAGTTTGTGGAACTTCAATTGTATTGGGAATGACTTTATATTCAGCTAATCAATCTGGTAATTAGGAAATAATTTGGCCATTCTACATATTTTTAATAATTATTAATGGAGTTTTTATTGCAATTCTTTTATGGGAAATTCTGTGGGCATAATTAGATGGTTAAGAAGAAGCACTTGATAAGATAAGAAATAAATTAAATGCTAAGTTTCCAAATTTGTAAAACAAAAATTGGTTAACAAGAAAACTATTAACTAATAGAGCTGAATAACGTAAGAGAATTAAAAAAAGATTTAAAATGATTAGAGAGTATTTGATGGGAATAGTAAGAAATTAAAATAGAAAGAGGGATCATTTATATCAAATAAATCCATTGGAATAGACTGCAAAGTAAGATATTTTAGAGATATTTTTAATAGAGAAAAGGATGATAATGAATCATCATCTCCTGATATCAATCCAACAATTTTATCTGTTCCTCGTTTCTATAATAAGATCTACCCAGAAGTATTTATAGATTAATATGGATTTGATCATCAATCTTAGGCTGAATTAAGTAGAGTAGAATGAAATTTCAAATAAATAAGTAGTATATCATTTTTATTTTCTTGTTGAACTCTATCCTCTTTAACTTATAGATGATTTTAAATGAGTTGATGAACTAGAACCTCTTTTTATTTGAGGTGGTCTCCAAGATAATTCATTATGTTAAGGACTTTATGGTTTCTTTTTGTTTGTTAAAGTTTACAACATCTTCTATATCTAAAATTATTAAGTATAATATAATTACATAATTACGATCAATAATAGGCCGTTCTGATAGTATAGTACTCAAAGTTGGATGATTATCTTAGCTCTTTCTAGGTTTCTCTTTCATCATTTATTAAAATGATTTACGTAATAAAGACAATGGCATAATACTTTATGGTGTAAGTGATTATTTTTGAGTTTATGTTTTTGAAAATTGCTTTTCTATTTCATTCAAATTAAGTTAAAGATTTTTCTTTTTTGTAGATGATTAACTTATTTATAAAAGCTTTTTATCTATAAGATGATCACTTTGAACTCTCATCTTTTATTTCAATTAAAATATATCTTTATATGTCTCATTAACATAATTGAAAAAATCAAATAGATCTTCTGAACTACTTAATTCACCATGTTCATTCTTTTGATTTAGATCAGTTACATCAATCTTTAAAAATTCTTAATGAATGTGAGTCTCATAAATATCAATGAATATTGGCATCTAAGTGGATTTCTTTTCTTTAATTGTCTACCAATCTACATTATTAAACCAAGAATTCTTTTTCAAAGTATTAAAATCATGTATTCTTTCTTTTATATTCTTATTTAAAAGACTTTACAACAATGATATTACATCTGTACTCAAATCTTCAGGGAATGAAATGTCTTCATTCTAAATTTTATGGAAAATTTCTTCAGTGTTTTAAGAATAATGAGGTGGCAATCCTAATAACAATTCATATAATAAGCATCCTAATGTATAAAAATCAGCAGGATATGAATAACCTTATCGATTGACTATCTCTGGAGGCATATATTCAGGAGAACCACAGAAACTATTTGTTAATTGTTCTTCACTCAAATCTAATTTAGATAAACCAAAATCAGTGAGTTAAATATGACCTCTAAGATCTATAAGTATATTCTCTGGCTAAATATTGAAATTTATTGATTACTTTTAAGTCTCTATATAAGACACGATGTTAATGAAGTTCTTCAAGAGCACAAATAACTTCACATATGTAAGCTCGAGCTTCATCATCTGTAAAACGGTAATTTTAAAGATGGTAAAACATTTCACCTCCAGCAGAGTATTCCATTAAAAAACATAGATGATCTTTAGTTGCAAATGTTGCATACAATGGAATGATGAATTTAGAATGATTCAAAACTTAAGACAGAATTTTCTTTTCTCTAAGAATTTATTCCAGTCTTCTACAATCAGTAATATATTATTTTTTGATCATTTTAAGAGCAAACAATCTTCCAGACACTTAATGACGTACCAAATATACTTCTGAAGTACCTCCCTTGCCAATGCATCGTTCAAATGTAAAATCTAAAAGACTGAGATTTTATTTATGAACAATTTATCTATATACTCCAATTAAAACTTCCTATTTTAACTTATGTACGGGCAGTTAAGCTGATTTTAATGATATAAACACTTACCTCTCTCTTCTGGTACAGATAACATATAATCCATTGTAATTGAATTGGAGACAGTTTTCAAAGCAACTAACTATTATGAATTTGGCGTTGCTGGATGTTCACGAAGCTAATATAAATAACTCTCAAATACTCATACCTTATTTAGAAGATCAGCTACACTCTTGTCCATTGCTATATCAATTGTCACTTATTTATCATAACATCTTATCTATACAGTTCTTATTTTCTAAGAGTGATTTCGCTTATGTTCTAACATTATTTATGTTATAAAGAATTAAAATTGTTAGATCCCTCAATTAGAAATTGAGATATTGCTATGAATAGCTATCTGCTGAGCTCTACTTTCTCAATCAAAGAGATTCCTATGGTGCCAAAACACCCAAATCTGTCAGTCTCAAACCATTGAAAGCAGCCAATCAAGGATATTTGGCCAATAATCATGAAAGTTCTGATACTTGCTATGTGACTGGAGTACCCTATGGTTAAACCAAAGACAAATTCTAGAATTACGATATCTTTAACAGTCTTAATACATAGTATATCCAATTCCTCTACTTAGAATGCATCCAGATCTAATCGTATTATAATTAGACCCTTCACCTTATATTGCAAGACAAAGATTCCTGGCTCATAAATGTGCACTTTAAAATGTAGAGGGTTATGAAATGTATGACACTCCTTTGATAGATCCTCTCAAACCACATGCTTGGGAAGAAGCAATAGTCAATTTAGTTGTTTTGGACATGTTAAATGCCAATAAAAATTTGGATGAAATTGATTGGTCTAAAGGTCTTAGTACTTATTCCTATTCTAATATCTAATCTAAAGAAATATAAGAAGCCAATAAAAATCTATTCATATAAACTATTGATGAACACATTATCAACCATAGATATTCTGAATACTATCTCATTAATCGTGTACTTTACACTGCCCTTATGGGTAAGCACAAAGTTTTATTGGCTGATATGCCTGATCATTTACATAAATTAAATATAGGTGGTACTCTTGAAATCCAAGAAGCTAGAGATCTATTTAAATATACTCTATAAAAGACTAAATAAATGAATGATATTCCCATCACCTTAAGAAAAGCTGCTTATGATTTCTTACCACATGTATTCTAAACACCAAAAGATTTGTATATGACTGGAATGTTGAAGAGTGCTTTCGAAGGATGTGAAACTATCAATGCCTATGTTGGAATTCCACACTTAGTCCCCATTAATAATTATTGGGTTGAAGCTCCTCATGGTATTAATTATACAGAAGCCACTCGAATTCCACCTCGAAGAACTGGAGAAACTGATGAAAATTAAATTGAAAAAATGGCACTTTTAGATGTACTTCTTGAAACTCACACTTGGGCAGAACCTTATTTGAGCAATCCTTTCCCATATATTGTAGAGGATCTTACATAAGTATAAATTATTCTAATTATTTAAAGGCTACAGCTGGAGATCTAAAGGCAATGAAAGAATGTTTTTTACAATATTACTAAAAATATAGTGCATATAAAAATGAATTACAAAAGGAATTGCCTAATTTAAGAAATCATGATATTAAGTTTATTGAAAAAACTAGAGAAGCCATTCCTGATATGAAGTATGAAAAATCTATTGAGATAAAAGCTTTAACAAACAAACAATTATAATAAAGAAATGTAGAAATAGTCTAATGATACGCTTAATTATAATTAATTATTCATTCAATATTTATTCTACATAATAGAAACTTTAAATTTATTATAATTTATATAGGTTCTTCAATAATAATTTTATATGAATATAAATTTAATTATTTTAAATTAAAAATATTTAAAAGACTTAAAAATTAAATTCATTGTTTATTCATGAATAAGTCTCAAATAAATAAAATAATTTGCACAATCAAAAAGATAATTAGAATTTTACTAAATTACTAACTAACAGTGATATTTCTTTAAGGTGGTTAGCAAGATTAACATTTATTATTAAATGTATAAGTATAACCTGAAAGCAAATAACATTCTTTTTCATCTAAATTTGTTGGATTTTCTATTTGATCACATGTTTTATTTTAAATTTTACAAAATGTTATTACTGTCTTATCCCAATTATAAAAGAATGAACATATTTTATTTTATTCATAATAAGTTTAACATGTATGTTCTAAACATTTACTAGAAGATGTATTAGTAGCCATCTTAAAGTAACACAAATCTTTAACCTACAAACAGGAGTTTTAATCCTAATCAGATTGTTCACATGATTTCATTAGTTCACATTTATTACGTTATGTTGTTGTGGTTATGTTAGATGAAATCGGAGGTATCCAAGAGCAAAACCCATCAGTTCCTTTAGAATTACATGAAGTTTGGGTTTTATAATCCTTACATTATGAAATAGCAACGCATGATTTTCCATCATAAGTGCATTTACTATTTGATTATTTGCATTATTCAACAGAATTGGAATTAGTAATACTAGCACATCCAATAACTTCACATTTATTATCGATCCAAAAACATTATCCTTCATCACTTTTAGCAATATTGCATTATGCTTTATCAGTTAAACTGGAACAATTAAATTTAGAAATACAGGTTTTACCATTACTAGTACATGAATAGAGTTATGATTCACATTCTTCATTGGTTGTACCAGTTAAATCATTACAAACTTGATTTCTGCATTGATTTGCTGAGACATCCCAAATACATTATCCAGTTGAAATTACTCTTTTATCCTATATTATTCTACCACCACTATTAATAACACAAGATATTTGAAATGTATATTTATCACAATCATTAAGGGAAATACATGTCACACCATCAGTAGTACAATTATTTTTAGCTGTATAACATTAAGAATGAGATGGGAATGCTATCTATTTACAAGATTCAAATTAAGTACAAATATTTATACCATTTTCAACAATCTAAATACATTCTCCATCTATACCTACATAACATCCTCCATTAGTATTAGTATCTTTACAGAATGTAATTGGAACACATTATATTCCATCAGTTGTACATTCTTTTGAGACTTTCTAACATTCTTCATGAGTTTAGAATTTGATATCTTCACATTATGAATATTAATAACATTAATTATTTATCCATAAACAACTTCCATCAATTCCAATTATACAATGTAATTTCTAAGTATATTCAGAACAATTCATAAGATCCATGCAAAAACCCCTTCTTATATAGTCAGCTGTACATTCTTTTGAAATAGCTTAACAAGAATTATGATTTGAACCATTCTAATCTAAACATTCTTGATTTCTACACTAATTTATAGTTGTATCCCAAACACATGATATTAATGATGAATCAATTTGACATTATTCTTAGATACTATATTCAAAGCATTACATCAAATTAATACATCCTCCATTTTATTGAGTTGTACATTTATTAAGATATTATTAACATTAGGAATGAGTTGTTAAGGTTTTGGGAGCTACATTACATGATCTTACTTAGCATTATTTATTTGATGTCCATTAACATAATTGACCATCTGATTAAGAGACACAACTAGCTTCATTGAATGCTTAATTACATTTTCTTCTGGGAATACATTAAGTTCCATCACTAGTACAATGAGACATAATATTTCTGCATTCTTCATCAGTTGAATAATAATAATATTCACATATTGCTGTTTTACATTTAATAGTATCATTATAACATGAATTTAAATATTATGTACAATCACTAATACTATCAGGTATATTCTAGCATGTTTTAGTAATACATTTATTTTGATCAATATCATAAATACATTCACTAACTTCACATTGTATCATAGTCATTTCTTCACAAGTTTCTGGAATTGTTTAACATCCACTTCCAGTAGTTTATACTGTACATGTGTTCAGATAATTATTACATTAATTATGTGTTGTATATGATAAAGGTGCTGTTAAACAACTTTTGACTTTGCATTTTTTATCTCTTTCATCATATCCACATTCTACCCCCTTTTTGGTAATAATGCACGATCCTTAATCAGTATAATTTTCACAAAGATCTAACTAAAATGTACAACCACCACCACTTTTAGTTGTGCATTTAATCTTTGTATAATAGGTTAAACATTATTATAAAGTTGTTAGAGAAGTTGGAGCAGTAGTGCATGTTTTAGTATAACATTTATCAACATTCCATTAACATTATTATCCTTTAATATCAATAATACATGATTATTATGATGTAAATGATTCACATTATTATTGATTATCTTAACAACCTATACCAGTATTATCTAATATACAATTAATGTATTAAATAGATTTGCATTATTCATTAGTAGAGTATAATGATGTTTTTTCAATATTTGAGCATTTAAGTTCTACACATTTCTTATCTGTAGGATTCCACCAACATCTATTATTATTGATATCAAAATAACATTATTTTTGAAGTTCATAAAGATTACAAGTATTTTTTCTTTTCTCACAACCTCCTAGTTTATCAACTGTACAAGTATTTAAATAAGATTCACATACTTAATTATTCAAAAATGTTTAAGGTGCATATTCGCATTTCCTAGGAACACATATATTATTTATAAATTCACATTTACCTGATTTAGATTATGAACAACTATTTTAAGTAGTGTAATCTGAACATTTATCTTTAATTTCTATACATCCTGTTCCATCATAATTGGATGTGCAACTTGACATCCATTCCTGGCAAATTTAATGATTATATTCAGACTTAATAGCATTACTACATGTCTTATCAATGCATTATTGTGAACTTGTTTTATCTGGATTATTCGTGCATTCTTTATCCAAACTCTCACAAGTTGAATCATATTGAAATTTTATTTAACTGCAAAACTCAATTTCAAATAAATCCTTACAAATAAATTATCCATTATTATTCTATATTATACACAAACCTGTTTTAGAATAATGACAATAATTAATATCTTAGTAATCTTAGCAGGAACCTGATATATTTGTGCATTATTCTAAATCAATTTATGAAGTACAACTAAGATCAAAATTTTAACAATCAGCTAATGTTGCTTTAGGTTATGTTTTAGTAAAACATTCCTTTTTCTTGCAATTATCACTGTTTGGATTTTTCATACATGCTTCTCTAAATGAAGGACATGTAATATCAGTTCCTGACATTGATGTGCAATCCTCATATTGTCTTCTACATTAAAATTGTTATTGCAAATTTATATATTTAATACATAATCCTTGAATTTTAGAATAATAACAATTATTTTCATTTGTGTATTAATAACAATAATCTGAAATGGGAATACATTAAGTCTGAGTTCTATTAATAGAACATGAATCAAGACTTAAACATTATTCAAGAGTAGTGTAATTATAGTCAGTACAAATTTTAGGAATACATCCATTATTTGTTGTATTAACCTTACATTCAAATAGAATAGATTCACAAGAACTTGTAGTATATGTTTATAGAAAAGTTATATCATCACATGATTTGACAGTTCTGCATGAATCATTATACCAAAAACATTCAATCTTATTAGAAGTATTAGTTTTATAACAACTCTCCTTTTTTAGATATTCTTCACAAGTATTATATTTATCTACACATCCACCAATATCATAATAAACAGTACAATCACTTTAGAATATCCTACATTATTCATCAGTTTAATATAAAAGTGAATCTGGAGCATCAGAACAACTATAAGATAAACAAGAATTGGTTGAAGTATTCCATAAACATTTTTATTTTCTCAAATTTAATACACACTATGATGAATTAACATAATCCTCACATTCCATTAGATCTATACAACCATTTTGATTTATATTTACAGTACATGTATCTTTCAAATCTTAACATTATTAATGATTTTATCCAATATAATCAGTACATTCTATATTATCTGCATTGATACATTCAACTCCATTCCAAAAACATGTACCTTCTATTGCTGCATCAGATACACAATTTAATTTATTCAATACATTACATGTACTCTTTTCTTAACAATTAGTATTATTATTATTTAAAATACAACATTAAGTAATATCTTCTGAACATTCAATATATGAATTGCATTCAGTCATATTTATAGAATCTAATTCAAATTAAGCTGTATAACATGATCTTGGTTAGCATTCATTTAATCCCCATACACAATCATCATCTTCAAAATGACAATTTAATTCTTTCTTTCTATCCTCACATAATTTTGGTAATTCCATACAACCTATAGTATTGCTTACTACACATCCTTTTAAATATGAATCACATAATTCATTTGTATCATAACTTTAATCTGCTGTAAAACATTATCTATCTATACAAACATTTCTTTAACTATCCCATCCACATTTTCCATCTATTCTAAAATAACAATTATCTTTTTTACTATTCCCTCTACAAGTCAAGGGTAATAATATACATCCATTTCCTTCATCATTTAAAGTACATTCATTTAGATACTTATTACATTCTAAAGCAGTAGTCAATTTTGCTAAACTGCATTCTTTACTTGAACATTTCTCAGTATAAAAACATTTATTATCATTTAAATCAGTTATACATAATTCTTGATTTTAGATATTCTCACAAATCATGTCAACACATCCTAGATTTGTTTTTGGATCAATTGTACATTTTTCACTATAATCTTAACATTCCTAGTGATTTTCTAATGATAAAGGAGCATTTTAGCATGTTCTATCAACACATAAATTATTATCATTCCAAAAACATTCATCTCCATTTAAATCAATTAAACAAGCTTCTTCTATATTGTAATCTTAACATCTACTTATTTTCATGCATCCTCCATCCTTTTTAGTTACACATCCTATCAAAAACTTTGAACAATCTAAATTACTAATTAAAGTATTAGGAGCTAATGAACATTAAGCAATTAAACACATATTATTAACCCATACACATTAATTATTAGATAAATCACTTTCACAAGCATCTTCAAGTTTTGCTGAACCACAATTTAAATTATCAACACATCCATTTCCATTTGTAATACAATTTGATAAAAATGATTAACATTCATTATTTGTTTTATAAGTATTAGGAGCATTTGTACAAATTTTATCCATACATTTTTTACCATCCCAATAACACAATTCTCCTTTAATATTTTTTTTACATGCTTCCTATATTGTAGCTGCCTCACAAGTACTTCTATCTATACATCCTCCATTTTATTTGGTAGTACATTTTTTAATAAAATTAATACATTATTCATCAGTATTAAGTGTATTAAGTGCATTCTAACATATCTTATCAACACATTATGTTCCATTCCAAAAGCATTCTTATGTTTTATCTCTATTCCAAAAACATTGATTCTGGAATAATTAATCAGAACATTTCATACCACTCTCTACACATCCTTCACCAGATTATGCTACTGTACATGTATTTTATTCATCTCTACATAATTAATCTGTATTTAAGAATTTAGGGTATTATTCACATGAATCAGCAGTTAAGCATTTTTGAATTGATGAATCCCAATAACAGTAGTTTTCATTCTCATCATATTAACAAGATTATTAAGTCATATATTCATCACATAATCCAATTTCAACACATTATTAACCATTTGAAATACATCTCTTTGAAATTGATTAACAATCTTCATCTTTTTCAATTTCATAAGCACTACATCCTGTAAAATGACGACAAATATTATTAATTAAAGCACAATTATAATTATTAGCACATTCTGTCTTTGAAATTAAATTACAATAGGATGGATCTTTATCTGTTTCACTTGTGTCTGGTTTGATTACTGTTTCATTTTTCAAACAATTAGTTGAATTCCAATAACTCTACCCTTCATAATAATGTTCACAATCATATTATGAAGTAATGTTCTCTCTAAAGCATCGATAATTCTTATATTGACTCAAAGCATCATGTACTAGAATAAATTCTAATAAAAGTGTAAACATTATAATTAATTTTATCTAAAAATATTATTCATCTTTCTCATATCATGTAAAAAAGTAATAATAAACAATTCTTTATATTCTTATATAATATCATCCTCATTTATAAAATAATATAATTTTTTAAATTATATATATATATTAGTTTCTTTTCAATATTTTTTATTCATTATTATTATGTAAATATTGTAAAAGAATGTATTTGTTTTTTTAAGAACAATAATATTTCATATAAATATAAAAACGTATTAAAAATGCAATATTTATTAAGTTTGTGTTTTGTTTTAGTAGTTGTAGGACAATAGATTAAAGGAAATGGAAAACATCATAAACATAAGAATAAAGAGATAGGGTTTGTGTAGGTTTCAGCAGATTTGAATGATTAACGTATCATCTTAGAAGGAATTATACAATAGGTGAATTAATTAGCTCTCTTAGTCTAAAGATAAAATGTATTTGATGATAGTATGAGAAAAAGACCTTTTGATTTAATGGGTTAATTGGATCGTCTTGATAAGTTGGAATTATATCCAGAAGAATCTAAGATTATTCAAAGCTTAAAATAACAATTAAATATAATTTCTAATGCAATGGATGTAGATGATGATATTTAATAATGTGATGATGAAGATGTTTGTTAAATTTGTTAAGCTTCCATGTATTATTAATTGGATGATGATAATTGGTATATGATTGGATTTGAGCATGGATTTAAGTAATTATGCATTGAAATGAAGAAAGGAATTCCAATTCCTATTAGATTCTGCAAAATAAGCACTAGGATCTGATGGGGATCTTTTGTTGGCCTTCTCTAGTGAAAATCACATATGTTTACAATTTGTCAATCTAAAACATCCCATAGATATCAATGGTGTACTAAAATTATATTTGGGAACTACATTAAATGATTACCAAAATAAATTGATTCATTTACCAACTCATGGAATACCTTTAGAGTTTCTAGTTAGAGCAGAATATTAAAATAGAAATTTCATTTACAAAAACCTAAAATTGATTGTAAATGATAATTCTTAAAGAGATATTCTTGGTGGTCGATTGAATAAATTGCAATTCTCCATTTTCGATTAAAATGTTTATATTTTATAATATCATATAAGGTATTTATTGAATATGATGGTCAATTTTATATCTAATCCCAAATCTTTCCATTTCAGGTTAAAACTATTCAAGGAAACACTAAATCAGAATAAGTAAATTTATATATATTTATAATACTCCATAGATCAATATTAAATATTCAAAGAATATAGCTGAATAGTATTTGTCAAGTTTTATTTTGAAGGATACATTCAAATTTAGCTAGATGCAAGCTTCTACTTATACCAATAGTACTGATATTGTAATATCTGTTGAATTAGATTGATATTTATTTTTAATTCTAATAATAATTTATTGTATGAAAAAGATATAAAATAATCAACCAATCAACAGACCAGTTTATCAATAAGCATACAAAGTTCAAGATTAAGTTGTTCCTTAAGGAATTGCCTTTTTTTCAACATCTGGTAAAAGACATTATCCAGATTTTCAGAGAGGAGAACTAGAAACTTATTAAGGAATGCAACATCTACTTGACCCACCCAAAAAGTAAAAATGATTTTGAGATATTCATAGATTAACTTAAGATTATGATAGATCTTTGAATACAAAAGACATTGATGGAGCAGTTACAAATACTCTTCGTAGTAAAGTTGTAAAAAACATGGAATTAGCATAAGTGTATAAATAAGAAAAGCAGAAATCCTTATGGGAGCATAGTAGTAAACCTAGTGATCTCGATTCTTAAGTATATTAACCAAGAAAATAATGGGATGACAATGATCCATATAAAAATAGAAGTGCAATATATACTAATTATGAGGATTCTAAAAGAAAATTAGATGATTTAAGTGATAAACATTTTGAAACCATTAAATATCCTGAATCTACTACTTTTAAACCTAATCAACAATTTCATGAATCTTAACTTTAACAATAATAATTATATACATATGATGACCCAAATTTAATTGCATAACGTTAACAATAATAAAATTAGCAAGATTTAGTTCATCTATAAAACTCATTATCATAACCACATTTAGTAGCTTAGACTCAAAATACTCAACCTTCCAACTAATCTGAATAAAGATATTAATAACCTCCTCTTTATCAATAATAGATTGAAGATGAGAGATAGAAATAGCAATAATTATTAATGCAAAAATAGTGGGAATAATAAAGAATAGAGAGTCTTTAAAAATTATAATAATAATAAAATGATAAAATTAGAGAACAACATAATCTAAAAATGCAATAGGATTAAGACTATTAAATTATTTAAGAGTAAAGATAATCATCATTAAACTAAAAATAACAATATGCTCGAGATTTAAGATAATAATAAGAAAGTAACAAAGAGGGGAATTATAGAAAAGGATTCACTCCTCCACCTGCATCCAAAAGTGAAATTATAGGTTCTCTATTATAAGCTCCTAAATTGTAAAAATCTTAAGGTTTTGATGGAGATATGAATTAAGATGTGAGAGATTCTTTGTCAAAAGAGATTGAAGAAAATGAGAAAAAATTAGTAATCAATCGATTTAGACCACATGAATTATAGTAATATATTTATGATATGAAAAATGGACGAATTGGTGGAAGCAAAACTAGAAATAATCCAACTTTTATGTCCTATGCAGGACAATAATTAGTGAATCAACAACAATGATAATATATTATATATTATATTTAAGAATAATATTATTTATTAATATATATATATAAAAAGGTATAGTTATTATGATATTTTACACATACTTATAATTATTTAAAAAAAGTTCAATTCATTTTATTAGAATATTTATATTAGTTTTGTAAAATACTAAAATAAATTTAAATATAAGTTTTCTATTATACTAAAATAAATTTAATAAATAAATAAATTATAAAATTAGTAAAATGAACATTAATATAATGAATAATATATTTGCTAATGATATGAATACAAAAACAATTGATATTTAGATATGTTTATTATTTTATAGAATATTAAATCTTATCAAATTTCATATTCTTCCCATGAGTTTTCTTCTTCAAGAATTTCCTCTACTGGTCTTGGATCTTCATAAAATAATTCTTCCCAAGTCATTGCATATCTATATTTATCTAAATTATTCTATTTTTTCTATACCTTTAAGTGCATCTTATAATAATTTCTTTCTACTTCTTTCAAGAGTTGGTTTGTACCAAACACCATAACCCCAATTCCTAAACAATTTAGATATGAATAAAACCTTTTATTCACTTCTGCTTATGCAACTAATTCAGCCTCTGTGAATTGTCTTTATTTATAATATGCCCATTTTCCAAAAAAGTAATATCTACCTCCATAAAATGCTGTGAATGCAAAAGCTCCCAAGACAACAAACTTGATGATAGAAATGTAATAAATACAGGTCTAATTCTTCTCAACCACCATGCATTGGTTTCCCAGACGAAGTTTGTCCACTGATAAACCATTATATATTAAATTTAATATTATCATTTTACTTTCCTTTAAATTCATTGAATCAATATTAAGAGACAATATTTTATTTCATTTATAACAATCATTAAATAGTCAAAATGTTGTGAATCCATTAGTTCCTTTGTATAAGTGGCCATCATGATTAGTTTTTTCAGCAATTCATTTCTATTAGTATATAATAATCTAAAATATATATTTATATATTGAATATAATACTTTTTGTTTGATTCCTTTTTAAAAAAATGATTATTATAGATTGATAAACATATTATTATGATAAATATATTTAGTATTCTTATTATCTTAATATTATTACTTTAAAATATAATGTATAGTTTTTATTAGTTGAGCTTATAATCAATTATGAGTAAATTACTTAATTTATTATGAATATGAATTTGGATGATGTATTTTTAAATATATATACATTAATACTACATTTAGTAATTAATATGAAATAAATTTATCAAAATTTTGGAATGCCAATTTAAATTTTGGTATATTAAAAAAAATGATAAATGAATATAAATTACTCAGTTTAAAAAAAGAATTTCAAATCTAAAATTAGAACATGTTTAAAAAATATAAATGCTTAATGTTTTCTTTATATAAAATAATGAATGTTTTCCTTAAATAATATAGTTTTCTTCCATTGGAATAATTAAGGAGTCTAGAAATTTTAAAGAAAAGGTAAAAAAATATAAAAATTTGTTGCTATATATAAAATAAATTTATTCAGTATTTCTATTTCTCCATTTTTATGATGAAATTTTTAAAATAATATAATATCGAAATAAAATGTTGATTGGAAAACAGCATCTTCTATTTAGTGACATCTGCCAACTTGCCTATCTAGTATTTATTAATCAAGGTTTATATCTTAGTAATTATTAGACAATTCAATAATATTTATATCTTTAATCACTGTACTTTATGTTAGTAGCATAATTTTTGAAGTATTATGTGTATTGCTTAAAAATGAACAGAGAAATAATATTTTTTTAATAATTGGATTCTCAATTAAAATGATATGCATCTGGTTTGCTTATTAAGCAAAATAAGAATACATTCTTTGCTCATTAATATAAACTCAAATATTATTTAATAATATAGACTTAAAATAGAAGCTCTAACCTATTATAATCTTAGCATAAATGGTTTTATTTACATTCAATTTTGAATAGGTTGTGTTTGATTATAAGTAGATGTCTATAAATATAGTGTAATTAATGATATTTAGTTTATGGTTGTATAGAGAAAGAAGTATAAAAGTAATAGATAATATAAAAGATGATTAAATAAAGAATTAACATTAATGTACGATAGATATATAGGTTGATACTCTTAAATAACAATAGAATCTTATTCATACAATTTCGACGAGAAGAATAAATTTACCATAAAATTCTTTATTATTTAATGATTAATATGAACTATTAGAAACTCAAATTAATTTTACAGATTTGATAACTCATCAAAATTAATATAATTAAGCATTTGAAATACTTTTAAATTTAAAATTTAATTATATTGAAGACACATCATTAAAATAAAATGAACTTAGAATTATAGTATTAGAAATGTAAATTGATGAACAAATATTATTAACAATTGATAAGAATGAATATTTTAAATATGAAAATCAAGCAATGTTAATACAATGTATTGTAGTAGATGGAATTAAGTGTTTTTAACTTTAATTTTTTGCTTTACCATTAAAAATAAATAATAATAATTAGGAAATAGATGAATCAATGGAAATAGATATGTGTAGATCATTATCTCATGAATTGGGTACAAATTTAAATAGTATAATAACATTTACTAAAATGGCATTAAAGGATGAGGATATTAATTCTCATTTTAAATTAAAATACTTAGAACCAATTAGAATAAATAGTGAATAATTAAATCTAATAGTTGGGACAATTAGAGATTATAATTTGATAAATTTGAAACAATTTAGTTTAAAATTAGAAGAGATTGATATAGAATTAGAGATTCGATTTATAGTTTCATTATTTAATGAAAGTATTGAAAATAAGAACATTAAAATAGAATATAGTTTTGATTTACAATCAGGTATATTGGTGAATGATAAAGTAAGATTTAGATAAGTGTTATTTCAATTATTGTAGAATGCAATAAAGTATACTTTTGAATCAGCAATAACTATTACTATATAGAATGATAATTTAGAATGTTTTATATCAATTTCAGATAATGGAATAGGAATGGTATTATATATATAATAATATTATATAGACTGAATAAGAGGCAGAAAATATGAATTCATTATTGAATTCTAATAAATTTGTTAAAGTGTCTGAATAATCTGTTGGTGTAGGATTAGGTTTAGGAATATCAAATTAGTTAGTAAAATAAATGAGTGGAAAGAATAATTCCATATAATTAAATCGTAAAGACAGAGGTTGTTAATTTAGTTTTTTTATAAAAAACCATTAATTGGAAATGTCAAAGGAAAGTATGAGAAAGTAATCTTCTGGATTTGCAAAAAAAAGTAGTTAAACAATTAGATTTTTATCTGTTAATACATATTTTGAAGATTAAGTAAAAGGATAATCCATTTAGAAAATCCAAATCTAAAAGAGTTTAATTTAAACTCATTCTAATTCTCAATAATAATTTATTATTCCATCAAATAAAAAAATATATGGATATCAAGAAAGCAAAAACTAAAGTGAAGAGGATAGTTTATCATCGATTCATCCTCCTATCTTAAGTCCAAAATTTTAATAATCTATTGTACAATGCAGTCTTAACAGTGACTGTTGTTCTAGAGTATTAATTGTTGATGATGAATACTTTAATATACAATGTTTGAAATTATTAATGACTAAATATTAATCCAAATGTGATTCAGCTTATAATGGTAAAGAAGCATTATAAATTGTAAATCATAAAAAAAATCATCCTTGTAAAAAGTGTGGAAATCAATATTATAGTTTAATATTTTTGGATATCAATATGCCAATTTTAGATGGTTATAAAACTGTCAAAGAACTAAAAAAATTAATGAAATAATAAATTATCAATAAAGCATGGTGTATTGCTAATACAGGATTCTGTGATTTAGATACAAAACTTAAGAGTTATGAAGCAGGCATGGATTATTATTTAACAAAGCCTTTGGATTAGAATGAACTTAGAAGTATGTTAAATGTACTATTTCCTATTAATGATTACTGATTATAATATATGTTTTAGGTTATAAATATTAAAAATTATGAATATATGCCAACTTGATTCCACTTAAAAAATAGTATAATATACTCTTAGAATGATTATCCTCTCATGTGCTTTGATGTCTACTTTATTTATTGGAATTACATGTTTAAAAAGTAACAAATAGAAATATTGGGTATTCAAATTACTAATTCTATAATCATTCGCTGAATCTATTGATTTAATCGGAGCCATCTCTTTATCATTTTAGAGTAAATGTTATGAAACCTTATGTGATATCATTGGATATATTATGCACTGTTGTTGGTTAACATCATTTACTTGTTTGTTACTTTTATTTTATTTGTATTATTCTGCCCTTCATGTATTAATTATTACAAATTAGATTAATTCCAAATATTAAGCAGTAACTAATAACATAAACAAATTCATCATTGTTTGTATTATTTGGCCTTACTTATGGCTCTTGTATCCATTACTAAATGATTCAATAGGTCCAACTGGATGGAAACTATATAATTCAACAGAAATATTCTATTTATTTTGTGGTTTTGAAGTATTTTATATTTTTAAACTTTAGGAAGATGAAATTATTTTCCTTATCTTTTGGTCTATACCCTTATGGTTAATATTTTTAAGTGTTCTAATTTTGAGATAGAAAGTATCCAATTATAAATTCAATAGATTAGTTCTCGAATTAAAACCCTAATTTTCGAAGAATAAATTAGTAGCATTGAATTAGATATCATAAAGAAAGTGGCAGACTTTTCAATTATTTATGTAATCTTTTGGTTAACAAATTAATTTGTTAAGTAAATAAATTAATATATTAAAAATTAGATATGTACAATTATTATATGATGGATATACTCAACACATTATATTATACACCTTGTTTGTGTTAATGTATTTGTTGTTTGAAATTCATTTAGTCATAATTGCAGTCCTATTTTATAGAAATTATAAGTAATTATGTAGAATATAAAATATATAGTTAAGTTATTGACATTAAATCAATTTGGTCATTAAAAAAATAGAAGAATTTAAAAGTAAAGAATGATGAGTAATTAATTTGATTTTTATGTTGTAAATAATTTAATGTTTTAATATAATATTGATGACTATTCAGCATATATGATATCTCATGATCAAATTAGCTTAACTTATAGAGGAGAAATGTAATATGCTAGAAAATATTAGAACAAAAGATATCTATCAATTCAAATTTTTAGAATTTGACAATTTAGAAGAAATATTATTTTTAAAATAAGAAGAAACAGCAGTCTCTTTACCTTGGGTTAGAACAATAATTGTTAATTTCTGGAATGTACCAACAGAGAATTACACTTTATTTAATATATATGAGGGAATCAAGATTTTATTTGACATGGACATAATCAAAGATTTGTAAGAAGTTTAATTTAAGTTCTTCTCCAATGAATAAATTTAAGCATTGATCAAATTTAAATGGTTATAATCTGAAAATACTAATTACTTTTATTTCGAAATACAAGAAGAGGTATTATTTAATTATGAAACCATTTAGAATTAGTATGAATTAACACTCTAATGGAGAGATTCATTATAAATTGATGAATGTGTTAAGAAAGAATTAGAGAAATAATTTTAAAGGAAGAATTTATTCAAAATATTAAATAAAATAGGTGATTATAGGTATGATAATATTATGATAATTAGTAATATCTATGATTTATAAGAGTTATTTAATTTGATTTTGGATAATCATTATGATACTCTATATGTTTATTTTCCATCAATAATCAAATTAAAAATTTATACTAAAATATTTGAAGAGAGTTAAGAATAAATTAGATCTGTAGAATTATTCATTCATAATTAATGGTTTAAGGAAAGATAGGATAATTTGATAGCTTAATTTGAGATATTACATACTCAAATTTAAAAATCTATGAAAGATTTAAATGAAGAAATAATTTTAGATTATGCCTTAATTTATGATGAAGATCAAATTAATTGTTCTGAATTAATGAGTAAGATTAATTCTTTGATTATTAAAATATTATTAACAAATAATAAGAAAATTCAATCAATTTTATTGTCTTTGATGCCATTAGAAATTCATTTTGAATTGGATATTAAGAAATTAGAATTAAATTTAGATATTAATTTACATCATGAAGATCCATAAGATATATATTAAGAAGGATTAATAATTTTATTATAAACAATCACAACTTTTTAATTGTTTTAATCTTTAAAAGTTAATATCCAATAAGAAAATGATTCAAATAATATAAAATTTCTTTTATTCTCTTTCATTATGATGATTCATTAATTTTAATAAACATTAAAAAATAAAGGCACATTTACATACAATAATTATTCATTAATTCCAAGATATCATTCAGTTTGTTCAAAAGGAATGATAAATTATTTAATTTCAGAGAAGAAGTAATAAAAATGATGTTTTATAGTTAGATCAATTTATGAAATCAATTAGAAAGATTATCTTGATATTGAATAAGAAATGGAATGCTTTATTTAATATATCAGTTATTATGCTTAAGAGAGTAATTCAATAATAATTTCTTGTGATTTATATGAATTAAATAAATCTAGTAAGTAAGGTTATGATAGATTGATTTAATAATTAATATAATAGAATAGAGTATTGGAATTTGGCATATTAGATAATTGTAATAGAGATCAAAAATATTATGAAAGAGTAGTTTAATACTTATTATTACCACTTATAAAATATTATAGATTAAAGAAGAGAACATTATATACATTATTGATGATAGATAAAAGATTTAAGGATAGAATGAAATGGGAGAATATAAAAGAAGTGATTAATTATTTACCAAATGAATATGAATGTATGTTACATTTATAAAATTGAATAAAATGAAAAAAAAATTAAATCCTTTTAAATAAATTATTAAAAAAAGAAATAATTCCTTAAGAAATGCCATCAAAGAGAAGAAATAATGGTCGTTCAAAGAAAAATAGAGGTCATGTCAAGCCAGTTACTTGTTCAAATTGTTGCAGATTAGTTGGCAAAGATAAAGCCATCAAAAGATTCACAGTGAGAGATATTGTTGATGCATCATCAAAGAAAGACATTTTGGAAGCTTCTGCTTATGAATCCAAATAATAATAGTCAATTCCAAAATTATTTGATAAACTTCAAGTAGTTTTAATAATTAAAAAATAGTATTGCATTTCTTGTGCCATCCATGCACGTATTGTTAGAGTAAGATCATCTGAAGACAGAAAAATTCGTGTAATTGAAAGAAAACGACCTGTTTAATAATAAACATAAAAAAAGGATGCACCAAAACCATAAGCTCCAGTTGCAGCTTAATGATATATCTAATACAAACATACATTATAAAATGTGAATATCTTTAATTTTATGAAAAGCATCATCCTTGAATGCTATTTGTATAAATAATTTAAAAAAAAATTAATATCTTGAATAAATGACTCATAGTTATGGATTGAAAAAGGGAACAAGAAGTAAGTTTGCTAAACCATTCAGAGGACATGGTAATATAAGTATTCGTAAAACACTCTAAACATTTAAAAGAGGTATAAATTATATAGTATTTCTTACAATAGGTGATTTTGTTGATATTTTGGTTGATGGTGCATAACATAAAGGAGTCCCATTTTAATATTATCATGGAAGAACAGCTAGAGTATTCAATGTTAATCCAAGAGGAATTGGTGTTTCATTATAAAGAAGAGTAAGAGGAAGATATGTAGAGAAAAGATTCCATGTTAGAGCTGATCATTTGAGACCATCAAAATGCAGAGAAGAATTTGTTAAAAGAGTTTAAGAAAATGATAAGAAAAAGACTGAAGCTAATAAATTGAAATAACATATCTCAACTAAAAGACAACCAGTATTACCAAGAGGTGCTGAAATTGTCAAACCAACATCTACAGTCTTTTAACATCCAAAAGCATTTGTAGAAATTATTTGAAATATAATACAATAAGTATAATAAAGATAATCATTTATCTATGAATTAAAATATCTGTTTAATATTATTTTTTTTAATAAAATCAATCATGACTCATTTATATGATTTATAAGAATTTAAAGAAGCTTTTGCTCTTTTTGATAAAGATGGAGATGGAACTATTACAATCAAAGAATTAGGTATGGTTATGAGATCTTTGGGTTAAAATCCTAGTCAATAGGATCTTAAGGAAATGATAAAGGAAGTAGATTTTGATGGAAATGGAATGATTGATTTTAATGAATTTTTAGCTTTAATGGCAAATAAACTAAGAGATACTGATTTAGAAGAAGAATATATAACTGCTTTTAAGATATTTGATCGAGATGGTGATGGATTATTATCTGCTTAAGAATTAAAACATGTCCTAATTAATATGGGTGAAAAACTATCTGATTAAGATGTTGAAGATATGATTCATGAAGTTGATAGTGATGGAGATGGTTAAATCACTCTTGAAGAATTTATTAAATTATTAAATTGGAAATGAATGATAAATATACGTATCCTATTTTCACTTAATATATCAATCAACTTATTATCATATTATTCTAGCATTATTATTATTATTTAAATATTATAAAAAATATTAATATTCACTATGAAATCAAGAGAATTATAACTCCATTTTGATTTACAAGCACTTGATGATACAAATTTCTAATCTGATAAAGTTGTAGATAAATCTAATAAACAAAAATAAATTGAAGATTAAGATAAATACTCTAATTAAAATCTAATTTTTGAAATGGAAAATTCTCCTACACCACAATAGAACAAGTCTTAATAATAGACAAAAATATATTCTAATAATAAAGATCAATTATATTATCAGAAAAATTATGAAAAAATCAATACAGAATTTAAGAATGCAGAAATGCAATAAAGAATTTAATTGGCTGAATAACTTAAGAAAAAAGGTAATTATTATTATTCAAATAAAAATTTTGAAGAAGCTATAACTTAATATAGTGAAGCACTTGAATTAATTTAAGACAATGCTGTCTTATTGCTTAATAGAGCTATTGCATATATTAAAATTTCCAAATTTTAATAAGCAATTATAGATTGTACTAAAGTACTAGAGATTGCTTAAAATAAAGATGAAAGATTTACTTAAAGCATTGATAGTTTTTTTAAAGCCCATTTAAGAAGAGCTCTGGCTTATTCTTAAACTGGACAATTAGAAAAGGCCTTAGAAGATGTTGAATAAGCTATATAGATTGATCATACTGATAAGGAAGCACAAAAATTAAGGGCAGATGTCAAACAATAATTAATGGATAAAAAAAATAAAATAGATTCAAAAGAATATTAAGATGAATCAAATGAAATAGAATAATAATCAATTAATTAAAAGGAGAATAGTTTAACAATAAAGGTTATTAATTCTGGATAGAATAATGATATTGTTTAAACATCTAAGAAATGTAAGTTTAAATAAAATAATTTAAATTATAAGGATGTTATAGATGCATTTCTTAACTAAAATTAAAATTATGAATTATTTTAGGTATTATAAGTAATGATGTAATATACAGATGAGTCGGCTGCTTATTTTTATGATAAAAAAGGAATTGAAACATTGATTTAAATTATTAAGGCAGATGAAGAATTTCTTCATGATTAATTCAACGTATATTTTCTTAAAAAATTAGTTTATGGCTAGTTTACCGGCTTTGATTTTGTAATGTTATTAAGAATAAAATTAATTATATCAAGAATAATTCATTTAACAATATAATGGTGTTGATATTATAATTTAAAAGATTATTAAATTACTCGACAAAGCAAAATAAAAGAAAAAATCAGCTATATTTGATAGTATTCGAGATTACATTGAAGCAATTAATATTATGAATGAGGAAAAAACTCGAATTCTTATTCAATCTAGTCCTCATATAAGCACAACTCTATATCCTGAAATATTTGTTAGAATTTTAAGTTTATTTGGAACAGAATATGAATTGGTTTCATCATTTTTAAGTTTATGTGCAAACTTATGTTATGATTAGAGTAGTTTTCTTCGTTAAATTTTTTTAAATCATCTTGATCAAATAATTGATTAGATCTCTAATATTTATTAACATGTAGAACTCTCCATATAATCATGTGATATGTATATATAAATATTGAATCTACTATCAAATTTATTGATTGAAGATTAATTTAGAAAGAAATTTATGGATTATAACTTTAATAAAGAATTTTATATCCAATATTTCAAATTATTAAAGTAACTTCAAATTAACTTAGATTCTAATTATGAAGAATTAATTTCAATAGCTCTTGGTTTTTTGATTAATTTGTTTCATCATATGAATTCAATATAATGTGAATAATTGATAATAGAATTGAAATAATTACCAAAGATTTTGGATGCCTTTTCATTTTCTAGAAATTCTCTTATTTTAGAAAGAGTGGAAATAGTGTAAGCAATATACTTAAATATATAAAAAGAACCATCTTTTATTAATCTAAAATTCAAAGTAATTGGACCAATGAAAAATGGTTATAATTTTCATTGATAGTGTGTTTATATATATTTTAATATATAGTTTATTTAAAATTCGAATAATACATATAACAAATAAATGTAGCACCTGTCTCGTCCCCAATTATAATTACAAGAGATAGTGCAATAAAATAATTTCAAAACGTATAATCATCTATATATTTAGGTGCACTAATAAAAGTAATAAACTCAGTCAATCTTTTAATCCTTGTGGATTAATTGCTCAAAGTTTGAGTCCTACTCATAAAGCTAATCAAAGCACAGGTTTATAGGGAATTGATTTAAGAGTATTAAAAAAATAAGGACCTCCAGTATAAGCTAAACAATATTAGTAAGAATTATTGAAATTGATGATAAGTCATAAATAACTACCAATTTAGAAATCAGTTTAAAAAGTTAATACTTCTGATACATCAAATAATTTAAAAAGTAATATAACTACAGATACTAGAAGAACAAATTCAAATTAATATTAAAATACTAATGCATAAACAACTAAAAACTAAGGTTTTATTAATTTAGCTAATCAGATAATTATAATAGTTCATTATGAAAATTAATAAATAAAATTTCCAATTGATCCATCTAAAACAACAGGATGGTTAGATGAATATTTAAAATAAGAAATTAAAAAACATTCTATACATTAATATTCATCTACAGGTTCCTAACCAGATCATGTTAAAATAACTTGTGGTACTGGAAATGAATCAACAAATCCTGAAATAGTCTCATTCCATACAATTGATAAAAATTTACCTGTTGATTATTACTTACAATAAACTAACAAACCTCTTGATATTTTTAGTGGTTAAACTCTTAACTTATAACCATTTTTTGGTACTCCATAAACATCAAAAGTTTCATTAAAAGATTTTATTTTTGTTAAATGTATAGGTGTTGGAGGTTTCTCAAGAGTTTATATGGTAAAAAAGAAATCAAATGGAAAATTTTATGCAATGAAATTAATTGATAAAGAGTTTATTTTATAACATAAAAAATAAGGTAATAAATATATAATTATATATTAGGAATTGTTTAAAATGAAAGAGATATTATGACAGTATTAGATCATCCTTTCATAATTAAATTAGAATATGCATTTGAATCTAAAAACTTTATTATTTTTGTACTTGAATTTTGTAGTGGTGGTGAATTATTTTGGTAATTAAGATAAGTTAAAAGAATGACAGAATATTAAGCTAGATTTTATTTCACTGAAATATGTCTTGCTATGTTTTATTTACATTCATTATCAATTGTTTATAGAGATATTAAACCTGAAAACATATTAATTGATATTGATGGACATATTAGAATTGCAGATTTTGGATTATCTAAACCCAATATGTCTGA